CATTGCATGGCATGTATTCCCAAGGGTTTCTCCATGTTTGAATGATTCACACACGTCCATGGGTGGGCATCTGCAGCCGGTGCATGGTGGGCCAATTGTGTCATTGTTTTTCTGTGTCATGGTTATTTTCAATTGAGCGGTGGCAGCTGGCCTGAGGGCCAGCATGTAACAGCGCTTGCCACCACTTGGCTCCACCTGTGCCAGGGGCCCTCCTTCCTGGTGCCTACAAAGCAGAGAGTGAGCCAGCCCAAAGACCGGTGCTGCCCACCCATGGCTCCCTGTGCACTGGAGGCCCTCCTTCCGGGCACTTACGAGGCAGGGAGCCAGCCGGTCAGAAGACCGGCGCTCCCCGCCTGTGGCTCCCTGTGCCAAAAAGGAAAGTATTATAGCAAGGAGAATGCAGGGAAAGAACCAACTCAGGAAGATCTGACCAATGGGCATTTATTTCAGAAACTTCTTTCCCAACACACTCTTTTCAAGCCAGTTAAATTATTGTCCTTAGAATCTTATGCATGCATGCCTGGGCTTATTTTATCTGCATGTCTTTGTGTACACTTGTTCCTGCCTCAGCAAAATGCCCTTCTCTTCGGTGTCCACCCATGTTGCTGGGCTCAGCTCATTTGATGGAGCAATGCTCCTAACAAGTTCCTCAGCCTTGCCCACCCCAAACCTGCTGCTATCCTCACACCTGTCTCAGTAAGTGGTGTGGAAGGAAAGGGAAAGACTTTATTGAATTGGATGAGCTCTACTGGGTATCTTGCTTTAGGCTCTTCCTTTGTTCTCCAGAATGGGCTCTGTTACTGCCTTCCAATTCTTCACCCTTCTCTCATGTCTGTTTCCTTATTAAACAGGCTCAGCATAACAGCCTGCAACTTCCTCTTTCCTGTAGCTGATTTCTAGGGTTTAGATGCGACTTCATCAGGAATAGGGTGACCCGCCATTGTGTTCTGTCCAGGACTGAGTGTGATCTTTGGATATGGGACTTTGAGTTTAACACTGGGATGGTTCTGAGAAAAACAGAGATAAGCCTGCCATTCTTTTGGGAAATCTATGAAATTCTGTGAGATTTGAGAAGCTGTGTTATCCACGTTCTCCAAATTTCCATTAGCCTGGGATCTCCAAGAAAGCTATAGTCATGAAAAGGGAGGGTCCTGGTTCTGGTTCTGATTTCTCCTTGAATAGAAGTATAAAGGGTGAGGTTAGTCCCTAGCTGGGACCCAAGGAAGAGGTGCCATGGGGAGCCTTTTGATGGTCACAATGAAGCATTGTTTGAGTCCCACACCTCATCACCTACATCATCTCCTCAGCCATAAAAAAGGAACTGAGAGGGAGATCAGACAGGAGCTGACAGTTGGTGTTGGCAGCTGTTCTCAACTCTTTGAAAACTCCTGTCCCACAACTCCCAGAGTGCACTCCTGTCCTGTCCCTGTGCAGAGAGCATTCCTAAGCAGGCATAGTGCCCTGGACCTTGCCCATGTGGAACTGAATGGAGAAGACAAACGAAATCTATAGAAACTGTGAACTCTGGGTGAATGCAGGTTCCAAGGGCACTTGAGCCCCCTGTGACCCAAACAAGTCTTGGAGCACTGCAGTTATTGTTGCTCAAGAGGTCAGGGTTATGGCACTGCCTTTTCTAACCCCAACCTTTCCTCTGAATGTTGCAATCTTAACCCAAAACACTCATGATATTAACCCTACCCAGCCATATAGTAACTTGAGCATGCTCATAACTCCAAATGAGATTTAACTAAGTCCACTAGTAACTAGCCCTTGCTCTTAGATTTTTTTTTTTTTTTTTGGTTTTTCTCCAGTACTGGGAACCGAACTCACGACCTTGCGCTTGCCAGGCAGGCGCTTTTGCCGCTGAGCTAAATCCCCAGCCCCTGCTCTTAGATTTTAAGAAACATTAATCATTACCTATAACCCTGTCTTAAAGTAACTCCAAGCATATCAATTTGATACCTCAAATCTTCTTGTGCCTAACTTATCTAGAGCCAAACCCAGCCTAACTATAACAGCTAGACCATAACTTAAAATCATCACAGCCTTTCACCACATATCAGCATAATTTACATCTAATATGAACTCAACCCTAAGTCAGAGTTAATCTAGCAATGCAAACAAAACCAGAATACCAATCTTAATTAGCCCAATTCTAACATTAACTCTAAAATATTTCTAAGTCTCAAGTTTATCCAGACTGACTCCAAAATTTACCTCAAATCTACTACTAATAAAAAATCAATCCAAATCATATTATTTACATAATTTTGATTAAATCTTAAATTACCCAATTGCTTCATAATTCTACTGACACCCCTACCCCACCATTCCCCACTCTTTGCTGTAACCCGAATGTTAATCCTTACCCTACTCTAACCATAATCATAGTTCAGACCCTTTCCTCATCTCCGTCGCATGCCTGGAGCACTCTAATTCTGGCCCAATCCAAACCCAGCCTCTGGGATTTTAGGAATGAGCTTAGGTGTGTTCTGGTGCTGTGCGCCGCTTTCCTGAGGCAGGAGTATAGAAGATACAGGGGCGAGACATTTGCCTTGTCAGAGTCAGTCCAGCTCCTACCAGACTGGTTTCTGAAGATGCTGTCCTGTGATCAAGGAGAGTGAAGAGCATACTCACTGTACATGGAGAAACTTAAAAGGGCAGGAATCTAGGAACACTAGGAGCCTACTACATGGCTCTCATTTGGCATTTCTGGGCATTAGTCTCTTATAAGCACAGGTGGTGAATAGACCTGTTACCTTACTCAGTAACATCTAGGAAATTTTATGTCTGGACTAAGGAATCAGAGACAGCTCCATGACAACATTATCTGGTTCTTGTCTTGGCTTTTGGTCTAGCCCTGGAATTCCTCTAGGTTCTCACCTTCCGCTTGCTTTCGTTTCTTCCCTTTGTGGTCCCTTATACAACAAGAGACATCCAGGCCAGAGAAACCTCTATCTTGGTCCACAGTGATGGAAGAGAGCATCCTCATCTTTGCAGAGTTAAATCTACCCAGCCTCCTGGGCCCAACCCCCAGTGCCTTGCCCTGGACGGCAGAATCGTCTCCAGGTCCGCCAAAGTGCATCCTTGACCTCCTGGTTGCGCAGGCTGTAGATGAGAGGGTTGAGAGCTGGAATGACCAGGGTATAGAACACAGATGCCATCTTGTCAGTGTCCAGGGCATAGCTGGAGCTGGGACGCAGGTACATGAAGATGAGTGTTCCGTATAGCATGGCCACAGCTGTGAGGTGGGAGCCACACGTAGAGACCGCGCGCCAACGGCCCTCAGCAGAGTGCATGCGGATCACAGCTCCTGCGATGAAACCGTAAGAGACAGCAATAACTGACACTGTGGCTGTCTGGATGAAGCCACAGATGGCGAAGAGGAGGAGCTCATTGAGACTGGTGTCATTGCATGAGATGGCCAGCAGCGGTGGGATGTCACAGAAGAAGCTGTTGACCTCCCATGAGTGGCAGAAGCTCAGGCGGAAGGTGAAAGTTGTGTGCACAAAGGCACTCACTGCCCCTCCCAGGCCTGATGCTCCCAGCAAGGCCAGACACAGACCCCTGGACATGACTGTTGTGTAGAGAAGAGGGTTTCCAATGGCCACATAGCGGTCATAGGCCATCGCTGCCAACAGGCAACACTCTGCATCAGCCAGGCCCGCAAAGACAAACATCTGGAGGGCACAGGCCGTGTAAGAGATGGTGGAACGGGGCTGCAGCAAGCCCACCAGCATCTTGGGGCCGATGGCTGAGGAATAGCAGGCATCCAGCAGGGAGAGGCTGGCCAGGAAGAAGTACATAGGCGTGTGGAGCCGGGCATCCACATGGATCAGCAGCACCATGCCCATGTTTCCCAGCAGGCTTACTAGGTAGACGGGCAGGAAGACCAAGAAGAGGGTCACACGCAGGTCCCAGCGGTTTGTGATGCCCAGGAGCACGAACTCAGCAGGGGCAACCCGGACCCAAGTGAAGTTCTCTGGGTTCATCCTGCTGGAAAGGCAAAGCAAGAGGGAGATAAGAGGAAGGCCATGACTATCAAGGAGGAGGGAGGAGAAATCATGGGGACCTGGGAGTCAAGCAGACTTGGGTTTCAGTGCTAACTGTGACAAAATTGCTGTGTGACTTTGGACAGGTAACATAATCTCTATTTCTAATGTTGAGATGTCACTTGATTTCATCTTCACAGAGAGGAATCTTGTCTGTCTTACTTGGTTTTCCACAGTACCGAGAATATTGGCACATAGCAGGTGCTGAATAAATATTTGTTAAAGGAATGAGTGACAATGGGTTGATAATAGGTGCTGAATGGTTTATGACTCTATATACATTCCCCTCTTCAACTTCCCAGGGAAGAAAAGAGACAATGCAATGAGGAGCAACGGTCTCCTGATTCAGCGGGCAGCTAATTACTGGCCTTGCAGTTTGCAGGGAAGATGTCTTTCCACTGGAATAAGATCTGGGAAAGGAGTGGCCTGGTATGCTGGGGAGACAGTGACGTGCAGAAAGCACAAAGCATGTGAACATATTCCTGGGCTGATTTGTGACTTCTTTGAACCTTAATTTTCTCAATTGTACATTGGGTGGGGGAGTTGCAAGGATTTAGTGAGACAATGCACATGAAGTGTTTCTCACAGGGCCTGCCACTGAATGGGCATTTAATGAAGATTCACTAAATTGAACTGAAGTGAGCTGGATGCTTTGGCTCGATCCTGGAAGGAAGCCACTTTAAGGCAAACAGAAGTAGTGTAATTCCACAAAAGTACAGTGTTGCTTCATACCCTTGTGCCTTTGTACTTGTGTTTTTTTCTTTAACTTGAACATATTACTTTTTTCCCCTGTTGTTCTCTAGTTTTATTATTTTTCAATTTTCCGAACATGTGCACTACCGGTATAGCTCACTTTGGGATTTATTTTTTTCAGAACATTTCATAGCAAAAATGAAAAAAGGAATGATTAAATGGTTGCACACAAATCAATTCTTTTTCTTATAATTTACAATTTGTTGAAAAATATTATTGTTCTGTTGTTTTCATCCTGCTAACCCCTCAGACAGAATACAATTTATCAGCACACAATGGTTCTTCTTTTTATATTGGACAAAAACTATCTACAGTGTGTAGCCTTCCCTGATCTACCCCAAAGAAACTAAATTTCTCCCTTGTCTGTGCCTCACTGTACTGAAGCAGCACCGGAGACACATTTGTCTTAGCACATCACCATTCTGTAGCACATATACGTTGCTGGGGATTAAATCCAGACTCACCTATGCTAAACCTGCACTCTACCAAGGAGCCATACCTTCTGCCACTATATGCTGAGGTTTGAACCACAGCCGCACATGCTAGGCGAGTGCTCTACCACTGAGCTACATTCCCACCCCATCTGCTGCAAATATTTTTGGCAAGTCTGTCTCTTTTGGGCTTTGAGCTCCTTGATTCAATATCCAGTCAACAGATATTTATTAAGTATTACTACTGTATGATAACAATGAGCCTGGAATTCCTTTTTGTACCTTTAGAGTCTGGTATACAATCTGTCCTAAACAGATGTTAGTTGAAAGTATGAAACAGTGAAAAGGGTGTGGATATTAGCAACATACAGGCGTGGTTTTGAGCCCAGGTTCCACTACTTCATGTTGTGTGATTTTGAACAAGTCTCTTTGTCCGCCTTATCTCTTTTGGAGGGTTCTGATAGGCAGTGGCTATGCAGCAACAGGGCTGGAGCGGAGTGGAGACTCTTTTCCCTTGCTATAAGGGGAGTTCAGATATTTGAGATCTACCTGTGTCCGGTGAGGATGCTGAAGGTCTTCCTACAACGAACAGCTTGTATTAAATATTTTGAAGATGCTACATATTGATGAGGTCGTACTTGTAGAAATAGAAGTTGGAACATTTTCTGTAACTGTCTTTCACAGTGCCTTAGTTTGCCTGAGTTGGTATCCTTTTTGCTGTGTTCTCACGTGGTGGGGAGAAAGAGAGAGGGAGACAGAGAGAGGGGGAGGGGGAGGGGGAGGGAGGAAAGGAGGAAGATGAGTGGGGGGAAGGGGGAGAGGGAGAGACACACAGGGAGAGGAAGCTCTCTGGTTTCTTTTTATAAAGGCATTAATCCCATCATGAGAGCTCCGCCCTCAGGACATTATTTAAACCTAATAATCTTTCAAAGTCCTCACCTCTGAATACTGTCCCATGGGGTGGGGGGCAGAATCTCAACCTGAAATTTTAGGGGATGCATACATTCATTCAGCCCATAGCATGCAGTAATTCCACTCCTTGGTGTTTATTTTTGAAAACTATCACAGGTGCATACAAGGAGACATGCACTCCTGGACTATCCACAATGGCCAACCATTTGGCTCATGAGGGGTGGGGTCAATCTATATATATCAATAGGGATAGGGCTTAAAACCACACTGAGATAAAATCCTAGCTCACAGAAAAAATATACACTGATGAGAAAAAGCACAAAACAATAATACATTTAAAAATGCATGTAATAGTTTTGCTGGTTGGTTGCTCCAAACAAACAAGTGGTTCCAGTTTAAGGACCCCAGGGCATCTCAGAGGATTTTATCACCTTTGCTCCCTCCTTATCTCTGGGGATGATACTTCTTATTTTACCTATTTATTTTTGGGGTGATGGGGATTGAGCCCAGGGGCTCCTGTGTGTTAGGTAAGCTCTCTGCCACTGAGCTACACCTCAAGTTGGTCCTTTCTGTCTTTTAAGACTTAGCTCAGGGTCCACTTTTCCCAGGAAGTTCTACATGAACATCTAACCACTCAGTCTTTCATGGTGGAACTCACTGGGCTCTCTGTGTCAAAGCCTTAGTCTTTTAAAAATTATGTCTAATTGATAAATAATAATTGTGTATATTTATGGGCTAGCAAGTGATGTTTTTATCTATCATCTATTTATTTATCTATCATCTATCTATCATCTAATCTATCTAATATTAGAAGGATTAAAGCAAGCGAACTAACACACCCATTACCTCACCAACTTATTTTTTTTGAGGTGAGAATATTAAAAATCTATTTTTGGCAACTTTGAAAGATATAATAAATTATTTGTAACTATAACCACTAAGCAGACTATAAAGAGGCTGATGTCTTGGAAACAGAGTAAGCGGTGGCTAGAAGTTGGAGCTTACTAGAAATTGGAGGGGGACAGATGGGGAAATGGGAGATTTTGTTTCAGGCAAGAGGAATAAGCTTCACTGTTCAGCATGGTACTCAGTTGTGTTATATTTACTGTACCAAACTATTTGTCTCCTTACCCAGCTGAGCATTTTGAGTTTGGGGGTCATGTCTAATTCATCCATCTATCTCTGGGGATACAGGGGCTTGGGGTTCTTCTTGGTTGGGTCACTAGCAGAAGCCAGCCTCTAGGGGAGAAAAAACAGTGGAGTGCCAGCTGGATCCAACTGCATGTGTCTCTGAATAAATCAGCAGTCTGGCTGAAGTTCTGCATGTCCTAGTTGATGGTCAACTCCCTGTGTGATTTATTCTGTCAAATGGAAAGCAAACAGCACTCACCTTTACAAAGCGAGGAGCAGAGCTGACTCAAGTGCTTCTCTGTTTCTCCATCTATAAAATGTGAAGAATAAGACTTCAGGACTTTTAAGTTGCTTTGAATTTCTTAGTGCAAGGATCCTCAAACAACAGTTAAGTAGTTTTTACCGAGTGTTGTGCATTCATTTCTGTACACAAAACATAATGAATTCTCCATTAACTTCTCTCTCTTGCTTTACTACCTGACATTCTAGGGATGGTATGTGGAGTTCCATTTGTGACTGGCCCTGGAAATAGAAGGACTCAGATTTCCATGAGGAACAGCTTCTGGGGTTGCTTTTAGCTGCTAATCAGTACTACAGAGGAAACAGAAGATGGTAGGTTTGTGGACTGTTAGGCATCTGGCTCCATTCAGCCTAGAATTGACTCTCATTTTCTTCTAACCATTCCTACTTTCTTGTTTTCATCTAAATACACATTTATCTTTCAGTCTCTGGACTTAAGGCTTCCAATATCTGCCTATGTATTTATCTATGTGTGAATGTATGTATGAACCTATTTATTCTAAGATTATAAAATATTTTCCCATGTTTTTCTTCTAGGACTTTCACAGTTTCAATTTTCCTGGTTAAATATCCAGGCTATTTTGTATTTACTTTGGTGCAAGCTATAAATAAAAGAATCAACATTTTTTTTTCATCAAAAAAGTAAGCAGAAGCCAGGCATGGTGGCGCACGCCTGTAATCCCAGGACTCAGAGGCTGAAGCCGGAGGACTGTTGGGAGTGCAAGACCAGCCTGGGCTACAAAGTGAGCTCAAGGCCAGCCTGAACTGCAGAGTGAGACCCTGTCTCAAAAAAAAAAAAAGACAAAAAGAAAAAAAGTAAGCAGAAAAGGTAGGCAGAACCCCGAGTTCAACATCATGGTAAGGTCTGAAGCATAATCTCCCTTCAGCTGTAAGCTCTACTCTTTTTCCTGTTATTTCCAAGCACCTGGAACGTGGCAGCTTCATTCTTTTGGAAAGATGAAAGTAGTTTTCTAGATCTGCTCACTAGAACTGGCTTAAAAGGCTTTTAGGTATTCATTCTTCAAAGGACATTTAATCTATTCACCCTCTCCCTTAAGATAAAGGTGTCCAATCATCTCAGTGTATCTAAAACTATCTGTTTTAGACTTGAGAGAACTGTGTCCCAAGAAACTGTTCAACTGTGGGCAAACCAGGATGTTTGGTTCCCTACCTTGGAGTATTCTTCCTTTTCAGGAATGTGAGAAACATGATCCAGGGGAAGGTTGTGTGAGATCTGCTGTGTGAGGAAAGGTTTTGCCTCGGTGTGCTTCATTTTTTCTTATAATATTTATTGAGAACAGCCTGGCTCAGTCTGGATCAATATGTTGGCTTCTGCCTTTCACTTAAGGATTTGCTTGCTACCCCTGAGGGATCTGCTCTAGCTGCGGCAGCTGGTAGATGGCATGGATTCCC